AGAATTTTCCTCTCTGCTAATTGGGATACTACCCTCCTCTTTATTACATTTCTTTCTGGGACTCAACAGAGTGGGTTCTAATACCAGACATTTAATTCATTCCCTCTAAAACTATACTACACTCACAACAAGATTAATTTCTACCCCACTTTGTTTCCTCTCTTTGCAACGTAAAAGCTCTTGCCATGAAATAAAATTAGATTCTAAGACCTTTTTGATAAACATGATCAGTTTCCTTTCTGGGATTGCAATTCTTTTTTTAAAAATTCTCAATCCCCTCCCATATTTATCACGTGAAAATAATGCTATAAATATCACATATGTGCATGTGTTAAAATACATAGGGCAGCTGGGTGGCTCAGTTGGTTAAGTAGTTAAACCTCCTACTCCTGATTTCAGCTCAGCTCACAGTTCATGGGTTTGAGCCCCGAGCTCATAGTAGGGCTATAAGGGATTCTGTCTCCCTCTCTCTCTCTGCCTCTCCCCCATCACATACTCTTTCTCTCTCTCTCTCAATAAATAACTTTAAAAAAAAGGGACATTAGGTGACCAGGTGAAAATAAAGTACCATGGATACACTTAAATTAAATGACACCTACTCCTCTAAGTGGCTGTCAAAATATTTTGATCAACTAGATACTTTTTCAAAGACTCTTATTTTAAAAATGGACGGACCACTAATTGGCAGTGAGAATTGTTTTCACGTGCAGATATTTTGCTGTAAAATATTTGTGGCAAAGGGATTTGATGTGTTCTACCCTCTGTGGATAAGTATGCTTAATGCTTAATCCTGACACTCCAGTGTCCCAAACAGCTAATGCTGGCTCCAGCCAAATGGCTCCTAAGAGGCATGGAAGAGAACCTGGATAGCTAGGTACACTGGCATGGACTAACAGCCAGGGTTTACTGTGGAGTGGGGGGGGAAAAAAAAAAAAGAAGGTGGTAAAGAATATGAACAGCATGATCTATTTGTATAAAACCAAAAACTAAAAGTACTTATGTAATTGTGAGAGAGCTGTTTACATCTGTCCATGGCCAACCTCCTTTCTGATCATGTCTTCTCTCTCCCAGGGAACCTCTTGTACTTTGCGGTGGACTAACTCCTGATCCCACCCTGAGTGGGATATGATTCAGGCCTGGTCAATCAGAGACCTCCTGTGACTGTTCAGCGAGACTTGTCAGAACAGCTAGTTCTTTCCTCTGGGGTTGCTAAGCCGGCCAAGACTGCTGGAAGCCATACTATCCCCATGAAGACAAAGCCTGAACATGAAGCCAAGAAGAAGCAAGCAGGACCTAGAACCAGAGACACAGTGTTGAAAACACTCTGCGGATCCCTCGAGCCAGCTGTTGTTAATTACATGATTCAATAGATTACCGTTTTAGCGTGTTTTGGAGTTGCAGAGGACTCTTAACTGAGTTTAAACTAGATTTCTGGAATGCTCTGTGGAAATTTTCCTAATACAAAAACAAGCAAAGAGAAATGCAACACTGCTGGCTTTGAAGATGGAGTAAAGGGCCCACAAGCCAAGGGTTCAGGTAGCCTCTAGAAGCTGGCAATGGTAAGAAAATGTATGATCATCCAGAGGGTCTGGAAAAAATACACCCCTAGGGATGCCTTAATTCTAGTCTGGTGAGATACATGTGGGACTTCCAGAGAATGGTAAGATAATAAACTGGTGTAATTTTAAGCCACCAAAAATAATTTTTAAGTATAGGAAATTTCTAGAAGGATTCCACAATGCTACCTCTACAGAATGGAAGTGAGGATAGGAGGGGAAAGGGGCTGAGGGAGATCTTTTAATTTTTTAAAGAACAAATATATATTATTTTAGTTAGGTTAAAAACTAATTTTAAAAATGTTTAAGAATGAGGGATGCCTGGGTTGCTCAGTCGGTTAAGCACCCGACTTCAGCTCAGGTCATGATCTTGTGGTCGGTCCGTGGGTTGCTGACAGCATGGAACTTGCTTCAGATTCTGTGTCTCCCTCTCTTTCTGCCCCTCCCCCACACACTCACTCACACACGCTCTTTCCCTCAAAAATAAATAAAGATTAAAAGGAATTTTTTTTAAATGTTTAAGAATGAGCCCAGGGCTGCCTGGATGGCTCAGTTGGTTGAACATCTGCCTCTTGATCTCTGCTTAGCTTAGGTCACCATCTCACAGTTGTGAGATGGAGGCCCAAGTCAGGCTGGACACGAAGCCTGCTTGGGATCCTCTCTCCCCCTTTACCCAACCCCTAATTGCACTGTCTCTCTCCCTCTCTCCAAGAAAGAAAGAAAAGGAAGGAAGGAAGGAGGGGGGGGGAGAGAGAGACAGAGAGAGAGAAAGAAAGAACGAAAGAAAGAAAGAACGAACGAACACAAAAAGAATAAGCTCAGAGTAAGGATCTAAGAACCATAGGCATGGTCACCCACCCAGGAGAGTCAGAACAGCAGCTGCTTTACAGATCCATCAGAGAAGCAAGGATGTGCCTGTGATGAATTCCAACCAGCATCCTAATTGTGCTATTTAGCATACAGGGTCAGCCAATGAGCCAATACACCCCACTGCACACCACACTGGGTCAGGACAGGTCCTTGCAACAAGGCTTTACCCTACTTGCAGGGGCTGGGACAGAACTTTCACATGTATTCTTGAAGCTGATTTTGGAGACAAGGTGGAGGGAAACGGGGAACAGAAGCCAGAATAGTAATTGGCCTACAATTTAGCACACTTTTCAATAGAAAAATCAACAAATTGCCAACAAATTGCTACGCTAATGAAGAATTGCCCTGCTCTGCAATGAGCATTTATCCTAAAAGAAAAGACAACTCATTTATGCCACTCTGTAGAACTAGCTGCCATTCAGGAGCTTCCCTGCTGAATTTTAAACAGCTTCATGTAGGGAAAAGGGGAATGCATGAGAGCTGGCTGCTTTGGTCATGTTTTTCTCCAGTTATTCTCTTATCCAGCACTTAAGACAGAAGGCCAGAGTGCAGGCTCATCTAGTGTGCAATCAGTTGTGGCTCTCTACAAATGAACACCCAGTACAGGGGCTACATTTAATGTGTTCAAGCAGTTCTTTTTTTTCTAAGTTTATTTATTTGGGAGAGAGAGAGAAATCACATGCATGCACAAGGGGGATGGCGGGGGCCGGGGGGTAGAGAGATAAGGAGTGAGATAATCCAAGCAGGCTCCATGCTGTCAACACAAAGTAGATCAGGGCTCGATCTCATAAACTGTGAGATCATGATCTGAGCAGAGATCAAGAGTCAGACCCTTAACCAACTGAGCCAGCGAGGTGGCCCCAAGAAGTTTCAGAAAAAGAAAATATCTGCCCCTTCTCCCAACAACCAAGAAATCTAAAAAATAGTGGTTCTTATGTTCAATGCATACCTTTTCTAAATTCACTTCATTTTACTTGGACAAGAGAAATAAGTCTGGTGCCTTCTGACAAGTTTAGGGGAAGGATGGTCCACTGGGCTACATATGTAATTTCTTCCTATCCATCTCAGAGTGAGGTCTCAGTAGTACACACCCGGAAGACAATGGCAACAAAACAATGCAGTCCAAACCACTTTACTGCTGTGTAGCCTGGCCATTCATCGGGAGTGACACTGAAGGAAAGGCCATTATCTGTTCCAGGGACATTTCTGCTTCAAACCAACAGATTTATATTTCTATTTTCCTCTTTTTTCCCACCTTCATTTCTAACTTTCCTTCTCTTACTTTAAAAAGGATATTTCTAAGAGAGGAGAAAAATACCAAGGCCAGAGGCCTAGGCTAATGTACAATATTTATAGGTTATATATCATACTGAGGAGGTGGGGCACCTTGGTGGCTCAGTTGGTTAAGCGTCTGACTCTTGATTTTGGCTCAGGTCATGATCTCACAATGGTTGTGAAACCAAGCCCCACACTGACCTCAGGTCAGGCTCCATACTGGGCATGGAGCTTGCTTAAGATTCTCTTTCTCCCTCTCAGTCTGCCCCTCCCCCAGTGCCACACACTCTCTCAAAACAAAAAAAAAAAAAAAAAGAAATTAAAACAACAATAACAACGTATTGAGGAAGCAGATAAATCAGGTCTCTTGAGTTTTTCTTTTTCCATTTAACTACCAGTAATAAACTAAGATCAATTTGGATTCCAATTTAAAGACAAAAGTTTAGGGGTACCTGGGTGGCTCAGTCAGTTAAGCGCTCGACTTTGGCTCAGGTCATGATCTCGCATTTGCAAGTTTGAGCCCTATGTCAGGCTCTGTGCTGAACGCTCAGAGCCTGGAGCCTGTTTCAGATTCTGGGTCTCCCTCTCTCTCTCTCTCTGCCCCTCCCCTGCTTGCACTCTGTCTCTGTCTTTCAAAAAAATAAATAAACATTTAAAAAATTTAAAAAAAGAATTTGTTAACAACAAAAGTTTAACTTGACAATTTAGGCAGAAAATTTATTTCAAATATAAAATAGAATTTTAAATTCTTTTGCTCTAAAAACAAAAAAATTAAACATTATGTTTATTAAGGTACTTATAAGTAATTTCAGATTTTACTGATGTTAGGTAGTATATCTTTAAAAAGACTTCAATGGTGGTAACTATTACAGTGTAGTCAGAGACCCTAGAAATAAACTCTAAAAATGCTTCTGAATGACCTTACAATGTGTGTACATATCAGATCCTTCTTTCAACTTCCTATAGTCAAGTTATGATCTAAATCATCCCCCCCACTAAAAAAATAAGTTAAAATACATATTTTAATAATAATATTGAATGACCACTTGATGGTGTGACACAAATAAAAATAACAATTTGAGTAACATCACATAGCTTACAAAACATTTACCAAATACAAGTCTCAATCTCTGTAACTGTGTGACATATATAGAGTGGGTATTATTGTCCTACTTTACTGATTGAAAAAAAGAGTAAAAATATCCTTCCCCTCTTTCCCTGAAATGTGCCACTCTGACAGTCACCTTCCAACACCTAGGGTCAGACTCCTTGCTCAGCAGTAAGAGATGAGTCACTTACCAACACACAGGATGTTGAAACAGAATCCTTGAGAAGTAGACTTGTTGACCAGCTGGTCAGGGAGACTGTCAAATCCAACATGGCCAGAAAGGGACAAGTTTCGAAGCTCTTCATTCTAGAATTTCAGAGGGGAAATATTTGAGAATTCTTCAAGTATGCCACCTGGGTATCCCATGTTGTGGACCGTACCCTTTCCCTTCCTCTCTTCTTGACAGGCATGGAAGAAGGAGATTCCCTCTGTACCCACACCCTCCTTGGCTCCAACACAGCTGATGGGACCAAAAACTACAAAGCCATGCTCTTCCCACAAAAATCACACTGACTCCCAAAGCAGATTCTATTCCAAGGCATCTCACTTCCTATTCAAAGTATACTGGTCCAAGGAAATAGGAGCTTCCAAAGACAGTTACTTCAGATATGCCTTAAGTGACATAAAAAACAATCATGTTGATGGCTTCAAGAATTCAAGAAAAACTTTCAATTTACTTTCAACCCAGAGTGAAAAATAAGAAACACTCTTCAAGATACAGGAAGGAATTTTGAGACCCTCAGAGTGGAGGATACATACTTGTTACAATTACAAAAATTCTGTAACCACTATAAATGCAACATACTTGAAACTATTCAGCACTTGATCCTGTCTCCACCATCTGCTGTACAGATGTTTGGGGCATCTCTGCTTTCCCCTTCACAGCACCTAGCACAGGCTCTGTACTCACTGGGCCTCCTCAGAATTTACTGAAGAAGTCTGGGATAAGGTAGTTATCATACATTTAAAAAGCCAGGTGATTTATGTTGTTTTATAATGTGCTGACTGCCTCCATGACTTTGAATGCATTTCATATGTGTTGCAGGTAATCTGTGAAAACTTTCTTTCCAGGAAAACAGAGGTCAGCTATGGTCCTTCAATTACAACATCATGGTTATGGTTTGGGATTCCAGAAACTAGATACTGAAAGCCTCCTTGAAAACAAGACTCCTGGTATTCTGGCTCTGTTACCAACAATCTTTATATTCAAAATACTAGGGCACCTGGCTTGCTCAGTCAGTAGAGCATACTACTCTTGATCTTGGGGTCATGAGTTCAAGTCCCCCATGTTAGGTGTGGAGATCATTTAAATAAATATAGACAGACAGATAGATAAATTCAAAATACTGAAGTTTGAGAAAATGACCCTCAAAATTCTATTTTTTTAATAAAAAAGAAAAAGCTTTGCGCAAGACCATTTAATCAGTATTTTTAAAAAGATTGGTTTTCATTATTCTTCTGTTTGTTACACAATGATGAGAGTGATTTCTTTTAATAATCAAGGACTGTGACTCCATTTTCACATCACTATGGTCACTATATAGGCAGGGAAATGTGACTCTCTAAATATAGCGATTTTAACGGAATGTTTTAGGAACATTATAATGCCTAGGGTCCTTGCCACTCTAAAATTCTAATCTGTTAAATAAAACTAAAAACCAGCAGACTGCCTGAATACCATGATGGCAGCTGCAGGTTTGAGGTCAATGGGACAGAGAACAGATGCCTGGTCTATGAATAGTGTCCTTGAAACCTGCCAACAGTGAATATGAGACTCGAGTGTAGGCACTTCTCCTTGAACAGGATGGCATGGTTGACAGCTCTCGAGCAGCTTTGGTAGCGGGCACCCCTGTGCAGCAGGCCCGGGCGCTGGCCAGGCCTCCCAGTACTACTACAGAGTCCCAATTCTACCACCTGCGCCTTCCTCTTCAACACCTCAAAGGTTCAGACATCAGGTATTTTTAGGGTGTTTACCACATCCGCCAAGACTTGGGGGAAGAGGATTTGAAATGAGTCTGGGTTATATTTAGAGCTCTTTCCACCACAGCTGCACAGTGACTGTCGTGCACCAGGCCTGGGAGACACCATCACACCAGCCTTCATTTTAGTTGCATCACTGACCTGAGCAGTCAGTGAAGAATGGCCTAAAAAGAGGCAAAGCAAGGAAGAACCATCATCCCACACTCCCTCCCTTCCCCACCACAACAATTCTTTTCATTTCCGGTGGGGGTGGGGGTGAGGAAAGAGTGGTTTATTACTGTGGATTTCGTATTGTTGGGTTTTTAGATTCAGATAGTTATCCACCCATGAGCCAATCCTGGGAAAGAATCAGAGTTAGTAATTATAGCTCTCATCCCAGAACCCAATGCACAGCATCTCATATTCTCACCATTTCCAAAACACAAGAAACCACCCACACACCCACTGAGTATTTTTATACCCACTGAAAACCACATACAAAATGAAGGGTTATAAAACAGTTTGGTCTTAAAATTTTTTTTAACTTAAACGTATTTCTTCAGAGTCTGTCTTCTAACTTGGTAATATGAAATAAGTAAATACTATATTGTCATTTTAAAATTCCATAATTTGAGCTTAATTCTCTGCCCAGTATTAAAGGATTCTGAGGGCTACTGCCCATCAGTATGTGACTGGGAAAAGGCAAGTAGGAAGCTCCTCCAGTGGTTCACGAGCCAGCTTAAAAACTGGAAGGTGGTGTAGGAAAAGCAAAGAGGCTCTAAGTACCACACAGCAGCTGAATTGAATTCCTGCACTCCAGCATTTTAGTTACCCTGTTTACTGCTTCTTGCCTTAGCTGTCTCTCCCCAAAAAGTATGGGATCTCTTTTGAGTCTATGGATGTTTTCTTAGGGAATTTCATATACATTAAAACCTTGATTTGTAAGCATAATTCATTCTGGAAACATGCGTGTAATCGAAAGCACTTGTACATCAAGTAAATTTCAGGAACCATTGGCTCAGTTGTGATTATGTGACATTTGGCATCACGTATAACTCGCATTACAAGACATGACTTGTTTATCAAGTTAAAGTTTATTAGAAGTGTTTGCTCATCTTGTGGAACACTTGCAGAAAAAGTTACTTGCAATCCAAGGTTTTACTGTATTTTCATATCCTTACCACTGCCACACATCTGGAAAGGACTCTCAGCATTTCCTCTCTAATACTGACTGAACTTTTTGCCTGAGTTCCAGTTCTAACTTTCTGGGATTGTTCTCTTGGGTTGTCCCACCTGTACCTCAAACTGATGTTCATGAAACTGTTATTTCTCTATCCCAAACCCATCCCTACTCCAGAGTTCTCTATTTCTGTTAATGGCACTGACCTATGCTTGAGACCCTCCTCCCCCTTGCATAAATTCCAAAGAGTTACCAAGACCACATCCTCCTCTTTATTCCTACCTACTCAACCGCCTTCCAACTGGTCTCCTTGCCTCCACCCCACTCCCTCTAGTCTTTCCTTTTTGTAGCTGCAAAAGGATCTAGGAATGCAAAGACCCACAATCCAAACTCCTTGGCCTGACACTTCAGGGCCTCCATGGGCTAACCCCCAATCCCTTACCTAATCTCCCACTTTTCCCCACCTAGCACCTTCCACTGCAGCTAACCTGAATTACTTACTGTTCCTCAGACAACACCGTGTTTCTCCTCAACAGAGTTTATTCACACCATTTCCTCTACCTGGAAGGACCTTATAGCCAATGTTTACATATCCAAGCCTTCCAGATACTGCTGAAATTTGATCTCCAGCATTATCCTTATTATTAAATCTCAGAATTTCAGTCAATATTCTCTCATAGCCAAGACAGGAAAATAATGATTAAATAAAGATAGGTCAGGCTATTTGGTATTCCATGATCATCATAACAGCTAATATTTACTGACCACTTCCAATGTTCCAGAAAAGCCTTAATAATGAGTGAACTGGTTAATTTAATAACTCTATAAGGTAGTAACTATTACCCAACCTCAACTTCCAATGAGAAAACAGAGGCACAGAAATTTAGTAACTTGCTCAAGGTCACTCAGATAGTAAGTTGAGGAGCTGAAATCTGAGCCCAGAGTCAGGTTCTAGAATCCAGAGACCTTGCACTTAGTCACCTGCATCACAGGATGATCTGCTAAATTCTCAGGTAGCCCCAGACAATACAATGGTTTCGGCTGCTATCAAAATCTGTTACGTTACAGTAGAAAAAATAAGTCTCTAAAATTATAATTCTTTCGCAACCAGGAGAGATGGAAGTTGAGAATGAGAATTGGCAAAATAGCTCTAAATATATTTTCACTGGTCCTGGCAATGCCAAGACCAGACTGATTTATGCAGCCATGGCACATGAAGCCCATAATATAAGGCTTAGTTCTGACCATTCTTTAAATGAAAGTGCCAACATGGAGCCACTAAGTAAGTAACTATAAGACCTTAATTGACTTAGTCCTCCATTTGCTAATCTATCCATGGAGGGTTTGTGCTTACATGATTTCTTTGCCCACTCCATTTTGAAATGAGTTGTGACTGAATTCTATGGTATAAAGTAATTTAATAGCCTCATTTTTCTCTTTTTAGGTCATTTCCACATGAACACAATTACGTATTTGTTCACTCAAAAATACTCACTGCTCAGGGGCACCTGGGTGGCTTAGTTGGTTAAGCATCTGACTTACTCAGTTCACGATCTCACAGTTCGGGAGTTTGGGCCCCGCATCAGGATCAGAGTCTGTAGCCTGCTTTGGATTCTGTGTCTCCCCCTCTCCCCGCCCTTCCCCTGCTCTCTTTCTCCCTCAAAAATAAATTAACATTAAAAAAAATACTGCTCAAAGCACTAAGAGAGCAGATATTATTTTTGATATTGACTGATAAAACATTCTTCCTGCCCTTAAGAGGTTTACCATGTAGCAGGATATAATTTAATGTGATACTACTAAGGATAAAAGTGATACAGACCATGACTTTATGGTTGATATACGGGGAGAAGTAGCTTTTGGCCAGGAAATTTCAAAACACCTTTTGGAGGCCAGAGCTCCCCAATTCTACAAGGGGAACAGAAGTCCAGATTGCAGACACCTTCTAGATAAATGCTGTCTTTGCCCAAAGGGTCACTTTACTACAAATATATACATACTCTGAAGTTTATAACTGACAAGTTTTTTCAAAGATGGCTGACTTCATTATTGAAATAATTATAAAATAAATGATCTAAGAATGTGTGCCAACACCTACATTCTGAGTGCTACTTTAAAATAAGTTCCACAGCTCCAAATCTTGCTTAACCAGGAGCAGGATAGCAAA